TTTTTTGTGGAACCACCCGCAACTTACCTCACATTTGTTATAATAGTTGCAGATTTTTATAACAGCTTGCGATTTGTAACTTATATATTTTAAATATTATGTGGGTCCATTCTAAGACTTTCACATACCACTTACTTATTCAATATTATTCAAGTTAATATCAGTGTAAAATTAAAATTTAATAACAATATGTTCTAATGTTTATAAAGGCGGTACAGCCTGTGTAACGAAATAAATTATGGTAAGTCTACAAATAGAATAAGATCGTTTGTAAACAGTGATTGTAATCATATTTAATATTAATAAAGAACTTGAAAAATCAAAAAAAAATCACTTGCGACCACTCGGCCAACGAGGCAGTCCTCTATTATTACAGTGAAACCTGGTTAAGTGAGACATCAAGGGACCTGCAATGTCGTTTCTCTTAAAGAGGTATTCCACTTACCCAGTGTCTCAGATATACAGGTATAAATAAATATCTGTCTCATTTACAGAGGGTTCGATTAATAGAGGTGGACTTGGAATTACATGTGGAATTTGTGGGTAGAATAAGAATGAGTAAACAAACAATGTTATCTTAGTTAGAGGTTTATGCATATAAAATTTACTCGCTGTCTCAGTTATAGAGGTAACTATGATGATAAATCGAAAGAATAAATCCCAGATATAGAGTTTTACCTCGTCCCACTAACAGAGGTAATTCAGTGCCAAAGTGTTGAGACCTCAGCATGAGTTCCAGTTGTGGAGGTTTCTCACTTATCCAGGCCCCAATTAACCAAGTTTTACTGTATCTGATTTCTTTCGTTGTGGGATCCAAGACAGTTATTCATGTCCCTGGACGCCACGCTGGACTTCAATGTAGGTGCTGGTGTTTTCATGATTCTATCTACTGTAGATCCTGGCATATAGGAGTTTTAGCATATGTGGGATGCAAAAAACATCACTTCTGTTGACTGCTGTTGTTTAAAGTTGTAAATAAAATTCTTAACTGTTGAATAAAACTGATAGTTGACAGTCAAATCAAATATTTAAAGTCAAGTTAAAAAAATTCAAACCTCTAATAAAATTTAATTGGCGTTGGAAATATCGGCACTTAAAGCTTCATATTTTCCAATCCTGCTTCCGATACCTGAATAACGACATTATGATCTAATTGTAACCAGATTATGACGTGCAAAATGTCAAGTACCCAATCATACAGCTATTTACGGAACATTTTCCTCTATTACCTACATCTAAAAATAACATCTAAATCAATCAATGAGTACAAGCTGTATTGATGTATAAAACTCTGCCGATAACTAACTAGGTATCTATGTAATTATCAGACAGAAAAAAAATGGTCAGTTTAATAGATGTGGCGACTGTCTTGGCATATACATAGGTATGTAGGTACGTCGCGGAGAACCTAACGGGTAACCGGGGCTCCGGCTCGACGCGCAGGAGAAGGAACGGGGTGGTTTTTAGTCAGTAAGAGTCTGACACTCCCTCCCGCCTCACCCAGGAGGGAGCAGTCATTCGATGATTTCCCCCTTATAAATAAAAATAAAAAACCCGTTAGGTTCTCCGCGACTCCGAATCGGCATCGGCCGTATTGGGCTCCATCTGTGGTGGTCTGATAGCTCTTTGAGGCGCGCACGGAACGCGACGCGCCGTACGCTCGGGTTGTGATAGGTACTAGAGTTCCGCCAAACAAATAAAAATAAAGGACAAACAAAAACACAAAAGAGTCAACAAAAATATGGCTACTAATGCACGTTCGAAATAAGAAGTCGGGGGCTAAAGCTAGCAACACACAAACCACGGTAATGTATTCTATGAATCCGTAATCTTCATACATGGTAAACCAATAACAAGTTCCCTAGTCATGGTAACAAATTGCATCGAATTTACCTTGATAAATGAACATTTTCCACGTGATTTGCGCTTTATCTTGGAATATATTCGTCTTTGTGAAGCCTGCTTCGCTCACCACCTGCGTAAATCAAAGGGGAGCGAGAATTTCCTCGTTATAATTTGTTTTTGCATTCGAAATCTGAATTCCTTTGAATGTTAACGTGATTTTGTTAGTGGTCGGTAAATATGGGTGTAAGATAAGACGTATGTATATATGTGTGTGATAGCTATTATAATCTATGGTGCTGCTAAAGTGGAAATCATCTGTCAATATTCCTAGGGTTATGAGCCTAGAACTTTAATTAAAACACGTCGAGTACCGTCATTATAGACACAATTAATAGAACAATAGGTTGCGGTCACCGGTGACCGCTTGGTGTTTGACAGCAGTTTGGCATTAAGTACTGACTGCCATTGGCCGAGTGGTCAAAAGTGCGATTTGAAGCAAGGGGTCTTGAGTTCAATTCCCGGGTCGGGCAAAGTATCACTGGATTTTTTAAAAATCCCAGTAGTAACACGGAGACTGGAATAGATATAAGGCAATAGGCTTACCCCCCATTACATGGGACTCATAACATAAATAGTGAAAAGTGGGTGTTACATTTTACAGCTTGGCATTAAGTGCCGTAATGTGCACCTCTGCCTACCCCTTCGAGGAAGAAAGGCGTGATGTTGTGTATCTTAATTGCAAAACGTCGAGTTGGCACCCATCATCAAATATCTACCGAAAATGTTTGAATAACTGAAAAGTTCTCAATAGCACTTTGAAAACTGAACCTGGCAAGACCTCTTGCTAGATTACGCTTGCGATCAACTCAACTAACAAGCCAGTAAGTAATACAAAAGAAAAATAAAAGATCAATGGTCACTGACGTCGACATAAATGGACGTGACACGAACGCTCAGTGCCTTGAAGATGAATGACCGAAAATCATGACAGACAGTAATACGATATTGAAGAAATAGTGTAGCTGTAGATAACAATAACAGGATAATGTGGGGTAGATGACCAAGGAAATTGTGAACGTATCGAAAATTAGTTCGGGTCTGAGATTCTCTTTCTATGTGTATTATAGGTGCCTAAGTCTTTGTGTAGCATCTAGCTACACAGTTTACCTACTGAAATGTGCTGTGTAGGTACCTAATCTATATTTTTTATCTACTTCTCCATGTGGAATACCTGTCAGAAATTTCATTTAAACATTCAGTACGACTTTATATAACATGCTTTAGTTTTTATTTCTTAGGTGCCGGGGTCAAAGTCTATCTAAATCTTTGTCAAACCACCAAATAAGTTGTGGAATTACACACGTACAAACGCTTGTGCTTTTAAACAAATGTCATTTTTGAGGTTTCCCTAATTTATGCCAAGGTTCATACGAAAAAATTCAAATTAAAAACTTTCAGGGTAACTTGGTAAGCAGCTCATCACTTGGCAATGCCATCCTTTAGGTATATCATTGCCATTATTGTTCACGAGGAGCTGGACAGCCTATTCCACGATAGTGGGAGTAGCAGTGTATTAGTAGTACTGGGTCTTTAAAAATCTCAGTAATAGCACGGAGTCTGGAAATGTACCCGGTATATGGCAATAGGCTCACGCCCTATTACATGGGACTTATAGCTTAAATAGTGAAAAGTGGGTGTTACTTTGTACAGTGGCATTAAGTGCCGGAATGTGCACCTCTGCTTATCCCTTCGGGGATAAAAGGCGTGATGTTATGTATGGGAGTACCCTAATCTAGAATAAAAGCAAGCTAAATCAAACACAAAGTGACATAGCAAATTAACTCTTTTGTCGCATCTGTGGTCATTCGCTTCAGGATTGTGAGACCACAACACTGAAAGTTAAACAAGGGACGTAATTAGTTAGGGACTAAACTTTATTTTATTATAAAAGTAGCTGTTTGTTCTGTTAAATAGTTGCCAAGTGGAGGTAAATTAGGTTTTAATTTATGCTAAGTTCTTTGGATATTAACTGAATTGAACCTTAGTGTCTGTGCTGTTGTTCAATTAATTATAAAAGAACAGCAGATATAATTAGATAATGCAAGAAACTTTAAGTTGGCAAGAATGAAAAAACGGTTCAGAATACGTACGACCCTTCGTAACAACGAACGCGTAGTCATTCGAGATTATCAAGATGAGTAGGCATGTCGATGCACCCCTGTTCTGCCTAATAAAATACTGCCCATACATTACGCCAGATAACAATAAAGCCAGTCATAAAAATTTTATGTGACGTGCGAATATCAATGCCCCTCAAACTATTAAATTGATTTGCTTCTCCAACAAAAAACTCGGCCAAAACCCACTCAGCTTAACCAAATCCCTATAGAATGCAACGCCATGACTCCCCATAATAAGTTGGGTAATAACTTGCGGAAAAATTAGGTCACCCACATACAGAAAGCTTACAGGCCTGGCACGTATGGGACATATTGTTGATTTTACCATTTTTTCCGCCAACAATCTTTCCACTACGATGAGCGTTGGGATATCCAATAAGGTCCGAAGAAGATCAATCATTTTTTCCGTAAGAACACTTCTGGTGGCAACGATAACATAATTTAAATTTATGTTATTGTTGTTGATATTAAATGCATTAGATGTTTTGTTAGTACACTTGCTTGAAGCGCCTGAAAATTTATTCTTAGCACGGCTCATCAACGTCAATATTAAACAAAAGTTAAAAGGTACTTAGCTATACATTTTGTCTAGTCTCAGTTTTCATTAAGCAATTACTCATGTATAATAAAACATAATACCTAAAATTATAATAAGTTACAATTACAAGTACATTACGGTTATGACAGATTTATGAAAATGAACAATAATTATTTTTTATAAACGATAAGATGTTTTATTATTGTCCAGTGGCAACACCTAGCTACACTGAGAAAAGATGTCAAACATTCAAAATGTTGACTTGTTGATTTGATGTAAATAAATAATCAAAATCTGTTTCATCTTCTTATATTATTAATAATTTAATGTAAAGTGAAAGAAAGTGTCAAAAGAAATGGCGAATAAACAAGATTACAACTATGAGTACACGCCGCTGTGGACGGGAAATGAGTAAGTACAGAATTGAATATTTATTAACTGGTTTTTGTCGACGTAGTTTTAGATATTTTAGCTTTTATTTCCTTAACCATAGCTACAGGATTTATTTGAGGCTTATTGAATATAAGCCTTGCGAGATTTTTGCACCATTCACGCAATATTTAGTAGTAAATATATACCTACTTATTCCTAAACAATTCCAATCAACATAAGTTAGGATCTTTTAAGCTAAATGAAGCTAAAATACGTAACATACAATGGAATTGAAGGAATTATAAAGAATGAAGTCTTTGTATAACATATATTTATGGTACCTACCTGTCTTCCGACAAAATAATGATGATTCCGTTCCTGTCATCTCATTATGTATGCACATTTTCTCCTTCATCAAGGCTAATCTATTTATTGTTTAAGTGGGTACTTAATTTAATCCAGGTCAAGACTTGTATATTAATAACTGTATAGAACATAAACCATTACTTTTTTTTATAATTTAAAGATTGATTGTTAATTATTATTAATAATTCATTCAATAAATGAGGCACTTTTGACTGTCTCATTGGCCGAGTGGTCGCGACTGCTGGACAAAGATTTCGGGGTTGAATCCTTGTCAAAGTGTAACTGGATTTTAAAAAAAAATCTCAGTAGTAGCACAAAGTCTGGAATTGGGCTCGATAGGCACAATAGGCTCACCCGCTATAAGATGAATAGTGAAAAGTGTGTGTTACATTGTACAGTGGCGTTACCCCTCAAGGGATATAAGGCATGATGTTATGAAATGTTATATAATAATTCATAACTAATTTCTGACTACAGTCTTATAGGAATTTGTACCTATTTTCCAGTAATAAATAAAGGGTTTAATGCATACACAAATAAATCACACTACTAACATCTGAAGCGGGAATAGATATCATGTAGTTTATAAATTGATGCTTAACCTCAGGTCTGCTGGAATGTAGGTCTAAGCAGAATACAATGTCTTTTTTCTGTCCTACCTAGCTTCAAGAAATGTAAGGAGAATTAGGTAAAAAACTTGTGTAATTGGGTACTTACCAACTAGTCAAATTCAATACTTTTTTCGAACTGTCAAAACTATAGTTTTCTATGAATTTTGTATGAGATTGTGTATTGTGACGTCACGTTTTTTTTAGCTTCAAATAGCATACTTATTTCGTAAAAAAATGCTGGAAAAATACTAAAATGAAGTTGTTCATAAAATCAATAATTGAAAGTGTGATTATTTAATATTTTATTGTATTTTTTGACTGTTAAAGTCGAAATATTTTTTTTTTTTTGATTAAGGAAAGTACCCAATTAGTGTGTAATCTTTTAAGTGGCACTTAGTCAAAGTATTTCCCACAGATTTTCCAATTTCCAAACACCTTGGGAATTCTCAAGAATTAATCTTTGGAATTAGTTTTATTAGTTACTAAAGTAAATATTTAATACTATAACAACTAAGGCTTACCTATTACATGGGACTCATAACATAAATAATGAAAAGTGGTTACATTATAGCATTAAGTGCCATAATGTGCACTTCTACCTACCCCTTTGGGGCTTAAAGGCGTGATGTTATGTTTTATAACAACCGAGCCTAGATAAAGTCATTATTGTTAATCTTTAAAACAATAATCATTATTGAAACTTTACATAACTATTAAGTTACTTATCATTGTCAGCTCATGACAGTTTCCCGCTGGAATATGAACCTTCTTTTCATAAATTCTTTTTCATTTTGTGATAGTTAAGTACATAAATGTTTTTTTATGGTTGTTAGGTCGAAAAAATAAAATAAAATAGGAGGGATTAACATAATCTCCATACTTCGCAGACTAGTTAGGTTTGGGTGATACAACTACAGAATTCTCGGAGGTCACTGCTATAGTTAAAATCTACATGAATATTAAAAAAGAAAAAAAAGAAAATACCCACTTGCAAAAACTACCCAGAACATGATTATTTAAATGATTATGTAATTTATATAATGGTAAAACGATAATTGCTCTTGAATTAATATACCTACATTTGTCATACAATAAACAAATTAAGACATCATAGTATTTAGCAAAGTATAATGTTTAATATATGCGTCATAGCATAATGACACATACAGGAAAGGTTTTGCCAAAGATTTATGTGCTTTATTGTCCTTATTATTAAGGATTATATTGTCTTATTCCAGTGTTTCTTAGTAGTTGACAAGTCCTGGCTTCAATGATGGGTTTTTTGAGATTTGTTATCAGATGATAGGCAGTGAATCATAGCTTTTGATTTTTATACCTGTGTACCAAACATTAAGTCTAGTAATAAAATATAAACGAAAAATAGCTCTTAAACTGTCAAACACCAAGCGGTCACCGGTGACCGGAACCTATTGTTCTATAATTGTGTCTACAAAACCGGTACTCGACGAGTTAATAATTAATAATAATTGACTGCCTCGTTGGCCGAGTGGTCGCAAGTGCGACTGCCGGGCAAGGGGTCTCGGGTTCGATTCCCGGGGCAAAGTATTACTGGTTTCTTTTTAAATCTCAGTAGTAGCACGGAGTCTGGAATTGTGCCCGGTATATGGCAATAGGCTCACCCCCATTACATGGGACTCATAACATAAATATTGAAAAGTGGGTGTTACATTGTAGAGTGGCATTATGTACACCTTTACCTATCCCTTCGGGGATAGAAGGCGTGATGTTATGTTATAAGAATAGCTGCTCAAATCCAGTTAAGATGTTTAAATGCACTACATCTTAGATAACAAATATCTAATTTTAAATTGATACATTAATAATGCTATCTTAAATTCTTAATTATACAAAAATGTCCTGATATGTCTGACATAACATGTTACGTGTATATTATTATTATATGTAGGTACAATATCACTTAGTATGTATGGCTAACCAAACTACCTGCTCTCAGATCTCTGATTAAATTTTGTTTCCATTGTGTCAAGATATAAAACATTCACTCCATCATTACTCTTACGTCATTAAAATTATTAGCTAGTTATCAACCTATAGGTTTTTAGAATTCAACTATGAATATTTAAAACTAATGCCTAATCAATTTTGAGCATCATCCTATCAATACTTCATCATCGTCTACTTTAAACGTTCACTGTCTACTGAACAAAAGCCGTAGACATAGGGATTGCAATTGAATCGCTGATAGAGGACCAAAATCCCCTGTTGACCACACCATGTGATAACTTGTCATCGCGGTTTTAAATCCATAGTGCTTAAAGGATTTTTGATAAAAATGATTTCTTGGTATGTAAGTAGTTACTTATAAATCCGGCTTACTCTTTAGAGTAGTCGCGGAGAACCTAACGGGTAACCGGGGCTCCGACTCGACGTGCAGGAGAAAGAACGGGGTGGTTTTAAGTCAGTAAGAGTCTGACACTCCCTCCCACCTCACCCAGGCGGGAGCAGTCATTCGATGATTTTCCCCCTTAAAAAAAAAAACTCATTAGAGTAAAACATTGCATTCAATACAGATATTACAGTTATTTTTAACGCAAAAGTAAATGAAAACCCTCTCAAAGGAAATATCTTCTGAACAAATCGTAAATAATATATCAGAAACATTGCTTATCATATCGTGTCGTCGTAAACAATGGAGCGGTGTATGAGTGGGGGGTGCAGGCCGCGTGAGTGGGCGATCTAAGTCGATTGTCGTGTCAGTTCACAGTAAGAGGCGCGGGCGTCGAACGCTGACTTGCCGGCCTCCAAATTTCAACCGACGTTCACCTTTGAACCTTAAAACGAAATTCAACCTTAAACCTACCAACCAGAAGTCTCATTTCAAATAATCCTCATTTCTATGGTGAAGTGACATCTCTACCAAAACCCAGTGAATTCAGTGTTGTGAAAATGAATGAAGACAATACTGTATCGGACGACTTGAAAAGGCAAGCTGCTATGTTTTATAACAGCACACAAAGGTTAGTTTATAATGTTTATTGCGAAAACATGCAATTGTTTGAATCTATCAACGGATGTCGCGACTGTTACAAACATTTGATGTTTTTATTGCTTTTACTTAAGGCTCATTTTCGTTTGATGCAGCATATGCCTCCACATACGTTAGACGTGTCGTGAAAAAATGTTCCGGTACGTTAGTCAGTGGAGATGATCGATAGTTTCATAGTCTGCTTTTTGAATGGCCACTCAGACTCCAATTAACTTGATTGAAACCTATTTTCAAATAATATGAAATTTTTCCATAGTTACTATTTGTGCGTGAAAAGCTATGTCGAGTAAATCGGTCGTAAATATATGAGTAGTTACAACCTACCTACTTATTTTACGTTAGCAGTTTTCATCTTGATAACAGTGTCATTGTTCACGTATGTAAGTGATCCAATTTATACGAAAGCGTAAACATAATAAATGAATATTAATTTTATAAAATGTCTTCCGCATCTTCCCTTCGAAATGTAATTTATTTTTAATGCTTTTATCGATGTATGATATTGTTCCCATTCAACCACGGCTGAATCTTTTAGAAATACATAGGTATAGAAAAACCCGAGGACTTCTATTGATTCGAACCATTAAATAAGAAAGGAACTGAAAATACTATGGTCCTAAAACTGAACACGAACCTTCAATTACGAGTCTATTCCTATGACAAATGATAATCCAATGTAGGTACCTTACCTTACTTTGGGATTGAACCCCATTCTGCAGCAGCAGGGAATAACTATAATAGCTACACTCATGACTTTAAGCAACGTTGCAAGTCCTACCCATTCCTGACATCGATAGATACTGGGAAGCTCCAGGTACCAAACCCAAAATAGACCAATAAAGAAATCAACTCGAACAACGTAACTGTAAAATAACTTTAACCTTCAAATGAAATAACCCTTGATTGAGTAATCGTTAGATAATAATAGATATCATTAACGACCTTTGCAAGGTATGCTGTTATGGAGAACATGTGTTTACAATGACAACCATAAATATTTACCTGCAATTTCATTCGACAAATATTTACAATTG